AGCGAGTTTGCTTAGAATATTCTAATTTCTGAGTTTTGAAATGATCTCACATCTTTGGCACTTGATATTCAATTTCTTGGACATTGGAGTTCTACGCAAATGATCTGGAAATGAAAATGTTAAGTACGCATCATCTGTTAAGTATGCACATTAGTTTAGAGTTCAAGGTGCGTACTTAAGTGAGAGACTACTGTATTCTGGAATGTAAAAAACAAGACCAAACCCCTCCAAGGTCATTCCCAAACAGGTCTCGCAAGAGGTTTCTTTGCCTGATCTGTCATACTCATCACAACTGCAAACGTTTCAAGGTCAGAAGAAAAGATGCGTATGTAAGAAACAAACACAAACCCAACGGTTGGGTGAAGCTTTCAAGTCAACCGTAAGCAAATGGAAGTTCACAAATTGAGATATGAACCATCTGAATCCATGCAACATCACCATAGCATATCAAAGGAGGTTTTAACTATACTCATTTTGTTTCTATCATCTAAGTCATCATTATTCTGGAATGTAAAAGACTAGACCAAAAGCCTCCAAGGTCATACCCAAACAGGTCGCGCAAGAGATTTCTTTGCATGATCTGCCATACTCATCACAACTGCAAACATTGCAAGGTCAGAAGAAAAGATGCGTATGTAAGAAACTAACGCAAACCCAAAGATTGGGTGAAGCTTTCAAGTCAACCGTAAGCAAATGGAAGTTCACAAATTGAGATATGAACCATCTGAATCCATGCAACATCACCATAGCATATCAAAGGAGGTTTTAACTATACTCATTTTGTTTCTATCATCTAAGTCATCATTATTCTGGAATGTAAAAGACTAGAACAAAAGCCTCCAAGGTCATACCCAAACAGGTCGCGCAAGAGATTTCTTTGCATGATCTGCCATACTCATCACAACTGCAAACATTGCAAGGTCAGAAGAAAAGATGCGTATGTAAGAAACTAACGCAAACCCAAAGATTGGGTGAAGCTTTCAAGTCAACCGTAAGCAAATGGAAGTTCATAAATTGAGATATGAATCATCTAAATCCGTGCAACGTCACCATAGCATAGCAAAGGAAGTTTTAACTATACTCATTTCGTTTCTATCATCTAAATCATCATTATTTTGGACTGTAAAAGACAAGACGAAACTCCTCCAAGGTCTCAATACCATGGTATGTAATTGAGACCAATGTTTGACTTGAACGAGGTACGGATATACATGATTCTGATGTGCCTTCATAATGATGATGCTTTGATTGGAGGTAATATAATCCAAATCACATTTCTTTCCACTAAGTATCGTGTTATAACAAGTAACACTCTGTTCTAACCCTTCTCTCTGACTCAACGCTTCACTGCGTACGCTTTTCCATTTATTCTACTTTACATCCACGCTAAAACTTAGAGCAACAAAACATGAAAAAGTATACGTTGGAGCTGGTTACTGAAAATTTTAGTTGCACTCCAATTCTAGTCTTTGTAGGCCAGGCTGAACATTATATCACATGAACAGAGACCAATTCAAGACTTCAGTGGCCTATATGATAAGTTAAAAGTTTCGCTTACAAGCTATTTCTCGATCATATTTATCTCATCATCTGAATTCGATATTGTTACTTAGTAACTAGTTGTCTCGTTTGATGGATTTTTTTGATATTCTGAACTCTGTTGCAGCAGTTGATTAGGACGTCGTCACTATAAGTGTCTAGATGTATCAGCAACAGTTCTTGCTGCTCGTATTGGCTCTCTAAAATTAACTCTACCTTGCAACCACTCCGCCTTATCCTCAGGTTGGATATTAGTAACAACACTTCATCAGACTCTAGAATGCACTCTCGACATTTGAAAGAGACCAAGTCATGATGCAGCTAGTTATAAATCCACCGCCAATGCTCAATAAACCAGCTATCAAAGGTGGTGCCATTGAGGAAATGGCAAGATGTATACTTTAACTTGTGTTCTAGCAATATATACAGAGTTCGTTGTTTGAAATTGAACATGAGGTTCTAACTCCTGATGACTGCCAGACCTTAGTGAAGCACTAAAGTAAATTTCAAAGCCTTACTATTCACAATTTCTATATCAATATTGAATATCAAAAGAAACTAACACTGAGGTTGACAATGATATCAGTTTCATGAGGCTTTTGGTAAACATGTCTCCAATTTACACATACACTCTATTTTATAAGGGGACTAACAATTGCAGAAGCAAAGGGTATACATCAACTTTCACTACTCGCAGCGATGCCTTGCTTATACAAAATATTTCAATATGTTTCAAAACTTTGCTGTATTGTATCATGATTTGCATATCAATTTGCTATTATTAGAATTACATTAGGCATTCATCGGCATAGACATTGTGTGGGCAAAAAAATTCAGCAAAATTGGCCAATGTTAGGTGTCCGCACTATGCGATATACCACAAATGTACACAGTTGCTCGCTCCTCAACAAAAAACTTCACATCTACGAGATTCTCTTCGCAGAGAAGTCAATCTCGGCTTCTAGAATCTAAGAAATATCATCACGGCAAGCGAAGTCTCTCCGCGGATGAACCAACGAGCGAGCTGCTCGACCTGCTGCTAAAGAACCAGAAGAGGCAGGCAAATGGTCCGTAGCTGGTCCACGTTCATGTGCGATTCACTATAAGAAGACGGACAAATTCATGCACGCCAAGGAAATTGCAAGAGGCCAACGTATGAGAAAATCACGCTTGCCCAAATAACCATGCTTGCCCAAAGCCTATAGCTCTTAACGCCAAAAGAAAAGAACGATAGTCGTTGACGTTCATCTTCATCGGTGACAGAAATCGTCAACAGGGACTTAAGAAGATGCACAAATGACCTGAGAAAGGCAACAAGACCGACGATGGTTGGTTGGCGGAAACATATGTGCTCTACCGATTATAGAAAGTGATTCAGCAGGGCCAGACTTTATGCAGCGGTGCGAAGGGCGAAACGAAGTATCACCTACCCAAAATCCGAAGTGTGACTCACGCATTCCACCGTGTGTTCATACTATACCGGTGTGAAGTGTACTTTAGGTGGGATCCCATCCAGTAAATTGAAACTTGATGGGTCACATCAAGTAATTTATGTTCTGATGAGTTCCCTTGATTTTTGTATGTTACTTTCTCCTTGCTACAACTTGCTAAGACACAACCAGATCATTCTACTCTTGAAAATGGTCTTGTTAGCTATGGCAATATCATGTTAAGTTCGATCAACAAACTTAATTATAATGGCACTATGTTGGATGTTGTTTTTGTATTTCCGAGACGGAAATCTTGAGTCAAATTCAGATTATGAACATGAAGTGCTTTAGCCAAGAATTTGATGACTGTTCATCTTTTCATTCTCCCTTTTAGGTAGACTTGACATTTTCACATACTATTTACCAGCAAATTGTTTTGCTCTTGCTCTTGACAGAGATAGAAATGAGCAAATTTGTAGTTTCGTCATAAGATTTCATTTTCATTTCTAAATTTTAACCACCTCATGCAATCAATGGTATATGATAATCAAGGACGATTGGGAACATGATTTCTTTTGAATATACTCAACGAATCTAAATATATCAAACATCATAAATTTACTATCTATCAACATACTCTCCACATCATTTTGTGAACTCTTTAAAAAGATCATTTTAACTTTTTGTAAAAGATTCAAGATTTCTTGTAGAGTAACCATATGTAATCAACTTAACAAAATCTCTAACTTCGTTGAACCTAAAATTTTGCAAATTAATGACACTGCAAATCTTCACATCTCCACAAAATTTCAGTTTCCAACTTGAAAACATTCAAACTATTTCATTTCAAATCTATGTACGTGAAGTAAATATGGTGGTGGCTGCTAGCATTGCAACCTATCCTGCAGAATATCAGGAAAACGAGAGGAATACATTCCTTGCCTAACTTCAATAATACAGAAGTTGAAGAATCGGTATATGAGACGAAATAAGTCAACTCGACTCAACTGCTGAGTACAATGACTGAGGACAAAGTAAGGCACTTTTCACTGATTGCTTGTATTCATGAGATGATTCACTTGAAACACTTAAAACTGTTGTATGTTTTGTCGGACGTTGTCTTAAATTGTCAAAGAAATGTAAAGGCGATGAAAGCTCATAATTCTTTCAAAAACCTACAAGTTCATACAGAAACAAATTTAAAATCAAAACCTTACAAGTTACAGAAACATATTTCATATAAAACAGCGTGGGTATCCAGTGTTACGCACACATGCATTAAGAATGAACCCCATATAGCGAAAACAACGACACCGTTCAGCAATCTGATGCTTCTCACCTTCGTCTTTTGTATTTTGGTTTGTAAAGAAGATTACACACTGAACAACTTAATTAAGTGGGCTCAGAGATATCATTCATTCGGTACCATTGCATGCTGAAAGTGTATCAGAAATTGTAAATCACCGAAAAGATTAAGAAAGGAAGCTTTAGATCTGACCAGTCTTTTCACTTTGAAGCCAAATGAAATTTATTGGCCAAAAAATATTGTGCAAGTAGCCCAGAACATTCAAAACTCAATGCAGACACAATGGTGGGACATAGTGTCCTACTCTGAGACAACCAACACATAGATATGGACGATTGAAAGAAGTCCCGATGAAGGACGAATCCACATTTGGACTTAGCTCATATCATGTACGGAGGTGGGGATCCTGAGGATTCAGACTCGGGAAGGAAGCATACCGACAAGCTCACTCGCACGGTATCATACCTCTCAACGAGTTAGGGAAAAATGTAGACCAATAACGGAACACATACACATTCAGTCCACTCTCCATTTTCAATGCTGTGTCAATATCAGATACATTTAGAGGGTGGACACGAGTATTTCCTCCTGTTCAAACGTGTTCAATGTGGACAGTGAAAACCTCCACTTCGCGGACTAGTTACTCTCAACTAAGAAATTCAGGAACATCCGTTCTGAAGTTTATTTACACAATATACACCTTTACACGACTGCAATGAAGTACCTAAGTTCATGAACATGTACACATGAGTGTCAGATCGCATCTGCGTGGAAGAAAATATCATTCCACTCCTTCAAAATACAGACCTCCGTGTATGTACACTGCTGGTTCCTTGGCAGATGAAACATGATGACTTGCTTCCAACAATACAAGGAACCCATGATTTGCTCCCAACAACTTTACTTTGACATACAAGTAACAATGCCCCAATGAGGGCTTTCTATGACCTGATTACGAAGTACATATCCTCCAATGCCGTCAATACCAAGTTGACCCAACAATCACAGGGGCACTTGAATCCTAGTCTACACAAATTTGATCCAGATTCCTTTCCCGCTCTGCATTCTCTCACCCATCCGCACAAACACCAGCTATTGCTTCAATTCAAGAAAAAGTGGAAGAGAAATGTGATGAGACTACAATGGGCAGCCTGCAAACTTGTACAGGGAATCCGATGTTTAATAAGAAAAAGAGGAAGCCCAATATCTACCAAAAACATGACTATCGAACCGTATATGGCCCCGGTGAAGGCTGAGTTCCTCCCCTTAAGATCTCGTTTCCTAAACTCGCCAGTTTCGCGTCACTACCTAGACTCAAAGGGTGCGTGTTGTTTTCCTTGGCTCCAACTCCTACTCTCTCAGACCCTTCAAGTGATCCTTTGCAGTCACCCTGGGTACTCTCCTTCTCGCTCCCACACTCACAATCTGCACCCCTTCTCCTACTCTCGAACCCGTTAGACCCTTCGACTTCACTACCTGAGGGTGTGCCTGAAGGAGTTTCACCCTCTGATTGCCGCTTCTCATCCCCACTATGATCGATAGACATGTTCGCGTTCTCCTTGTCCTCTCCAACTACTATTTCCACTTTTTCATCCAATTTACTGATGTCAGATGACTCTGTTGTGTCGTTGACTATTGGTGAATGAGAAGGCAAATTCTCGGCGTCCCCAGCAACTGACATATCGACAGCGTCCTTCGCTTGCTCGCACTCCGGTTTTCTTCTCTTGGCAGCTGCGGCTTCGAGTGTTTCTTCTGACTCAAGAGAGGGACTTACCTTGCGTTTCACAGGTACATCCTCCATCTCAGGCCATATTTGATCAGATATTGGTAAAGGGGGAAGTATGCTGTCAACCTTCCGATCGAAAGAACCCTCCTTCCCATTACTTCCCAGTCCAACGGGAGTTTCCTCGTCCTCATCCTCGTAGTCGACCAAACCGGTTATCCTAGTATTCCTGCAAGCAATTTGCGTTAAGTTCTTGCCCTAAAGCCTCTGCCTGGAAATACGCGACAAAGAAGAGAGTGACGACAAAGACAGAATGAAAATCTCCTGAACGACCGACCAGATAATCCGTGCTAAAACATCGAATCACGTAAGTGTCGAAACTGTCAAACTAGAGGATCAAAATTGGCTTCATTATAGAGCATGACCACGAAGACAAAAGTCAAGAAGTTCGAAACAAGAATAGGCAAGCGAACGAACGTGTTCATTTTGGATACAACTGAGAAGGTCTTTGGCGGCTTGAACAAGTCCGACCAAGAGCAGCCAATGTACATGACCTCAATCAGTAAGGTGAACAAGAAAGAAACACATAGACCAGACGAGCTCTTATGTTCAATAGAATATTAGACCGCATAAGGAGTAACTCTTGCGAATTATAAGAATGTAGCATGCTGTTGCTTGAATCACTACACGAATAATGTAAATGAATGATTTTAAAATCAATAATCCTCTTATTCTTGACTTCGTTCTTTCATCGAAAATTAAGTCTCGCATGCTGTCATAACCATATCGGAAGCAATGATCAAACTGGGAGTCAGGTTCGAAAAAGTGTTAAGACCTAACGCCAACCACAATCCTTGTGTGTAGATTCATTGAGTCAACTCCCTAAGGTCCGTACGTGAACGTGAACGGTGATGACATCAAAAAGTCGAAATCAATACAGAACCGTTTCTTGGGTATATCACGGGCTATCTGACTACAAGCATCCTCACACGTATTATGGAACCTTGACTGACACTTGAAACAACACGAAATCGACCTCAAGGACTACACACGCAGGGTTTGGAGAGTCACAGTAGGAACTTCCCTGAATTTTTGTTTACATAAATCAAAGGCTTGTGTTAAAAAGTGGCATGATTAGTTACGACTACCGGGCGGAATGCGAATCGGAGATGGAACATTACCTATATCCGAGTTAGTTCCACATAATAGTTTCAATGGTGATGGTTATCCACGCGGAGATTCAAATTCTACGTCTAATTTCGTCAACTTGGAAATCACTCTTGACTGATGATACATCTCCTTGTCATATACATATGTTTGAGAATGTTGATCGGACATCTCATCGTGAAATTGCCACCACATCGGAGCATAGAAGCACATACCTGAAAGGTACATCAACAAGCACATTGCCGTTGGAGATACTTGGCTGCACAGGTGGGCTTGGAGTGGACTCTTGTGCAGAAGCTGTATCTTCCTCCTCGTCACTGAGCAAACAGACATCAAAAAGAACACATCAACACCACTGATATTCTCTTCAGGTATAAAGGGACCAAATGATACCTCGTTAATAAAAACTGAAAGAGAAGGTAAATCTACGCAGACAAATAAGCGCTAAAAGAGGAGCCGGTTAAAAATTTGAATCAAGTGTACAAATACCAAGTTGAATTTTAGTCAATTTACTGACCAGCAAAAAAAAAATTTTAATTCAGGGTTTAGTATCTATGTATCTATGTTTAATACCTCTGTTTAGAGATCACGATCATGATTTTCTTGATATTTTATCTTGCCGAATCAGAGCCGGTTAAAAATTTAAATCAAGTGTACAAATACCAAGTTGAATTTTAGTCAATTTACTGACCAGCAAAAAAAAATTTGAATTCAGGGTTTAGTATCTATGTATCTATGTTTAATACCTCTGTTTAGAGATCACGATCATGATTTTCTTGATTTTTTATCTTGCCGAATCAACCCCACGGTGGTTGATTTGGCAAAATCAATCGCCTCACCAGTTCGAACTGGGTGAGGCGATTGATTTTCTATCTCCACCTCCCCAACGAAGGGGCACGGGGCACGACTGCTTCGTGCCCCCTCGTTGAGGAGGGAAGGTAGATGAAAGAACATCTGTTGCAAATCCATTATATACACCTAAGATGCAATGACCGCTAAACTTATGGGTTTTCTCTCTTGAGTGGACTTGAACGACGCTTGCAGTGGCCCTAAACCCCATGCAGTCCAGTGCAACGCAGTTGCACTGGACGTAGTTAGAATGTAACGTAGTTAGAATTCAACGTAATTAGAATTTAACGTAGTTCGAGTTTAACGTAGTTCGAATTTAACGTAGTTCGAATTTAACGTAGTTCGAGTTTGACGCATTTAGAAATTAACGTAGTTAGAATTGAACACAAAGCGAGTGCACATGGGGTTCAAGGAAACAATGAACCAGAACGAGAAACCTTAGAAATTGGAAGAGACTCGCAAGACTTCGCAGGTATACCGACGGCGCCCAGAATAGGATAAACAAACTTGAATTCAATGGAACTGAATCCAGGGGATTGAGCTAGAATATGACTAAAAAATCAGATTGTACCAGTGGGCTCCCGCTACATCCAAAATCTTATCCGCCCCCTTGGAGAATCCTTTCACCGAATGAGAGCAATGAGATCTCAAATTTTTATACGATGATGTAGCTCTCTGAGATTCGATGCAGTCGATGGCAACCCAGGAACATTTGAATTGTGCCAGCCCGCGTCAGACTACCACACAGTATAATTTCGCAAAGAGTCGGACCCAGGAGATGTGATGATAGGGACCCAATGCATCGACAGACGCATTTGTACTTTTACGTCATAAAGATCCGGTCCGACAAATAACAAAACATTGCCAAAAATACATGGCATTGAGTTCAATCTGAAGAATCTGAATGCATACAGTCACTGTAAACAATCTTTCAAAGCGTTGTACATTATACAAAATGTGATTGAAGCTGGGTGGAGGACGGTTTTGCAGTTTAAAAAGAATCTGTCAAAACTGCATACCCTCCTCCATGAAAAATGTTGGATAGATCTACACTTTCCACCCAAAAGCTAGTCCAGTGATTAGGTCATCACTGGCTTGTGTAGGCGACTGTAAATTATGCCATATTTGACTGTGTCCCAAGGTTGAGGGTGATATGGGACAAGCTGAAAACATGATTGTATTGGTAGGTACCACCAGTCAAACTTAGAATCCAGCCGTAATCTCACAAACTGCGAGATCTAGTGGATCACAGTAAGGACAGCTAATGACATGTTCAGCTCAAAGCTTTAACCTGGGTATATTCTTCCACAAAAGTTATTATCCAGTCTATAGATGAAGATACAGAATCTTATGCAGTAAAGAGACCACAAACCATCAAGCAAAAGAATGATTTACTCTTCGGTCTGATGCAACTGGAGACTACGACGTTGAAAAATTCCAATTCGTGTTATTAAAGATTCCTTTTTTAACCCTGCACCAATGGAGATAACAATACAAACTTCGTAAACACTTGGGAAAAGCTAGTTAAATAAACATGCCAAGACCAAGTAGAGGAACTCATTACGGGCCTTTGGAGCTGTGACTCGGCTTTGAAAGCCATTAGAAATCTGCAGATCCCACGTTGAGGAGGAAACCCAAAGGTGTGAACACACAGGAATGAAGCTGGAAGCGAGAGCATCCTCGGGTATCCCACTACACGCTCATCAACATACAGAAACATAAACTATGCATGAAGGAACTCAGACCCCAAGAATCCGAAAGAGTAGAAGTCTAACAGCAACAATCATAAATTCGTCCATGACGAAGGGCATTCAGCACTTCGACAGAGAACGTCACTACGGGATCGAAGCGTAAAATTGAAAGAAACCGAGTGTGTTGAGTGCTGGCGTAGATCATGCTGAAAGGGAAGCTACAGACTTTATTACCGAGGAACGTGAGCGAGCAAAAAACGCTTCCGCTATTCTAATACCTCAGTCACCCCCAGGTTAGCCTCAACTTTCAATTAATAATGATCGAGAAGGGTTTTGATCCAGTTGATGGGAAACCCATAGCTTACAACAAGGGAATGCACAATGAGTCGTGGCGCCCACGTTCTTCGGAACGAATGCAAATGTAAAGCCAATGACGTGAACGTGCATGAATAAAGCTTGAAGCAATAAAGATAACCAATGCTGAAAAACATGCCATGGCATGTTTTTTACAATGGTCAGTGTACAGGAGGAACTTCTACTTAAGTAAAGAACGTGACTGAAGAGATTCTTAACTGGGATAGCCGTCCGCTGTTGAGATGGCTAAGGTCGATATCGGGTACAGGGTGGTGAAATCCTAGATGCGAGGAGAAGCGGAGAGCAAGAATAAGAAAAAGGGTGGTAAACTAATGTTGTCTAATATGTGGATCTCGTCGTTTACCATCGACACGGATTCCAAGTTTTAAACAGACTGGAAATAGCCAAGCCAATGAAAAAGCAAGTGTCAGCAAAGAATGTTTGATCGAGTTCGCATGATTGCAGAGGATAGATACCCCTGAAGTAACGTCTAGAGAAATATGCATGAGATCCTTGGAACAGAGGAACAGCGGGAGCGGAATCATTTGCAAATCTAAGACCGTTAATTAGTCTACCAAGAGAAGGTTTAGTTTCGGGACGCAGAATAACCGTCGGATCGAGCCCAGTTCGTATGTGATCAAATCGAAAGTAGCTATAAGCACTGCTACTTAGTTCCCACAGAAATCTCGAAAGTTCGTGGATACAAGCCGTCTTCAAAACAAAAGGTTACACTAGATAGGACCCAACCGAGGATAAAATGATATGGTTATATGAACAGTCGTCGTGATGAGGATGAGGGGTTCTCTGAAGTTAAGCGAAAGCAACCGGATGAAATAGATAACTTGCAGTTGTCCATTAAACAGATCCATTTTCTTATTTCAGAAAGCGTGATCAAGAAAGTCCCTCACAAGACATCGGGCCGGCAGGGTACTGCTGTAGAAGTTAGTGCCATGAGAGGCGGACCGGACGGCAAGATACTGATCAAGGCGACTACGGTTTGTATCACGGATTACATTGCATTATCCCGTATAATTATCTAATACCAGAGAGACCAAGCATGTAGATCACTTTGGCTCAGAAGTGGAGCCTGCATATCATGTGCTGATGGAAGTCGATCATGTAAGAGAGATCTACCAAAGTGGGAATACATAAATGTAACGCCTTTAGCCGATGCTAGAAAACGTGGCTTTGGTGGAGCCTTGATTAATTTTCAAGTCAGGCAGAAGAAAGGCTGAGAGATGTTTCTGTCAAGTTTGTTAGCAGGAACAAACGCTGTCTAGCGAATGGCCTAGCAGTGATATCTGACTTGTTATCACAATCTCGTACATGATTAGGTGAGGCTTACTCATGACGGGCGAGTTGAGGCTAAGTGGGAGCGGCAAGACTAGACAAAATTGTGAGGGAATTGGTTCTAGTAGGATACAAAATACTTACTTGAAGCTTTCGATTTGCATATCCTGTGGCTCAAAAGAGAACTGATATTGGAAGGGGGAGGTGCTAATAGCATTCAAATTCATGAGATCATATGAAACCAACTAGGTTATAAGAGATTATGGTCAGTAAGTCAGTTTCAGTGCACAAAACTGTGAAGTTCAAGGTTTGTTGACATGGGAGAGCTCTCCTGTCGGAAGAAGTGAAAAAACAGATTTACTCAATTCGGTAAACTGCATAAGAATCTTTTAAAATCCAAGACCCTAGTCTTTGAGGCATACAACGAGGTCAAACACCATGGGAAGGGTCATTTTAACATACATGGTGGAACGAAGAAAGACATGGAATCTGTTCAAGGAGTGTCAAATGCTACAGCTGTGGATCAAGGTTAAGATGGATAATGATGAAATTTCTAGATGCATAAAAATAAGAGAAAAAAAAAAATTGGAAAACGTAGATGTTTTAAGAGAATCGTAGTCGCTGAAGAACAAATTGACAATGGTAGATGTGGCATAACCTGATGTCAGCAATGAAACCACTTGTTAAAAGTTTAGCTATGCACATGCAGAAGAAAGATTGAGCTCTATTCGATAGTATACAAGTAAATTCATGTGTTGGAACAGTACTTCTGTCTCGTGCGGGTCTAGGCAGAAAACTATGCACCTCCGTATATACCGATGAAGTCGCCGAGCTGCCTCATGGTAAAGAGATGCTTGCTTTTCAAAGGTAAGGTGACATTACAGGGTGGTTGCATCTACAGTGCCCGCGACACTGCATTCTACAAGCAGTGTCGCCGCCACTGCATGTAGAATGCAGTGCCAGAGAACTTACGGGATCTTAAACAAAATAAATACTTTGTTTCAGTTCCCGTAAGGTGGCATTCTAAGAGTCGAAGACTGATCTGTTATCACTTACTTCAGCACCAAGGGAAGAGACACATTTACAGGACCCATACAGAAAGTGTGCATATATTTGTTCAGCAAGATCGAATACAAGTACTCAATTCCAGCGGCGAATTCGACGACGATCATTAAATGGTGTAGCCGTACACTGAAGCCCTGTTGTGTACCACCTTGTTGTGAAGCTCCGACGGAAAACACGGGGAACTAGTGAAAAAAAACATACTGACTAAGATGTATGCTACACGAGCGATCGAAATGAGCAGTTGGCAGTGAGAGGAGAAACTTCAATCATATCAAAGCATATCGGCAACCAGAAGTAGTAAACATGGACTGGATCGCCTCCAGAGCATACCAGTAAGCATGATAATAAACTCTTTCTAGAAAAAAACATAACTCAGAATTAGAAGAATAACTCGATCTTAAATTAAGGGCACTCTTTGTGTTGTGCCTCAGTTGAACGTTCTTTCATTACGCCAAAATAACACTCCTCGTTGACAGATGAATATACTTCAGAAAAAAAACAGTTTTTACACTAGTTCTCTTTCTGAGAAAAGAACTGGTATTTCCAGGAACTTGGCTCCACTGTATTGAAGAACACAGACAGGGTCCTTATTCTATGGAGGCGAGTTCAGTCGTAGGTGACAGGGAGTTGATTTTGATTGATCGATAATAAGATCATTACTAGTGGAAGTTTAAACAACGAAAAACACAAGATAACAAAAGGGTGAAAACAGAAAACATGAACACGATATGGCCCTTGTGCCAGGAGATCAGTCAACGAAACGATTAGCACAAAAAGACGAACTAAAAGGCCAAATATGTCATTACAAGTCCTGCTTATGATGTGAAAACGAGGAACATACTGATCCCACTAAGATTCAACTTGGTGCTATCATGACAGTGTACTTGACCTACCTTGGAATAAAAATTTACCTTATCTCCCTCTATCCTGTGCAGACTTACTGGGAGGGCAAACACAAGTTGATAAATTCATTTTCATTCCTTGATCATTTCCTACGGAATATTCGGTGGTTTCCACCCGATGTTCCCTAATCAACCAGTTCACCAAGAATACAAAACCTCTAACCTTCATTTGAGTCACAGCTGTCCGCACAAAAAGAAGCAACGCGGGTGTCGATGAGTTCGGCTGCAGGAGCCACCTCTCAAGCCCAACAAGGGCGTTTAAAGTGATCCCTCGCGGGTATTGACAATATTCCAGACAAAGGATTGGAAGGTTAATCAGACAGCAACAAATATCTCACCTGTCTTCATTGAAGTAGTCTTCTTCATCCTTGTCTAATGCTCTTTCATCCCTCCGCTTTCTCGAATCCGCCAAAGATCCTATCTGATTCATCCGCTCCCGTACTCTTACAGAGCCATGGTCTGGACCACCACTCGTGACACCTCCTCCAGCCTCCCTAGTAATTGAAGAGACTCCCTCTAGTGACTGCAAGTCATATAGAGATCAATTAGGGGCATTTTCTTGGATTCACAATAGACAAACATTAAAAAAATGCAAAGAACGGAAAAAGTAGTTCATTCCCACAACCTGCTCGTACTTCAACTTTAGAGCTTGAATAGTCTCGACGTAATCCACGCATTCCAGTTTCTCTGAAAAGTTCTCCACTAGATGCAATATGAGGATGGTAATGTTTTCCTGCAAGGCATCAACATAAGTTCACACATCAACATAAGGCAACAACAGTAGTGAGAAAGGGCACAAGCTAAAGCGACCGTCACAAAGATGGACATAAGAGAAGGTTCACCTCAGCCTAACCAAGCAAACATGTCTTAGATACTCTCCATGCACAAATTCCTAGGTAATACTGCTAAGAGAGAGAATATTTGGCCCTGGACGTCCTGGTCTTCTCAAATAGAGTCAACAGAACAGAAAACACTTCTTTTCAGTGACATACTTTCCGGATGAAGTCGATCAGCTCAAGGACGGCTGAATTTAGAAGATTGTAGCGATTGCCATTCGCGAGAAATGCTTGAATAACAGACTGAAAGAGGTTATTTTTTACCAGATACCGGTTGTAAAATTCGTCCTGCATGTACAGCATCATAAAAAGGTACATGATTACGTCTTTCAAACATGACTTGCGCCGTGAGATATACTCCCAACAGAAAACACAAAAAACGAAACGATAACCATCTGAATCACATTAGGGATGTTTTATGTACTATCAAAAACCTTGGCTGCCATAGCGCAACCACCAGAAACTGTGTAAAACGCACGACCAGATTGAAAATCTACTTCAAACTGCTTTAGAATTAAATTCTGGATCCATGAAAACATTTGCATGTAAAATGTCCATAAAATTACTCAGATACAAAGATCTTACAATGTCACCACAGCATTGTACGAACGATCGACGTTAAGCTCTCAAGTAAGGGTGACTAGGACTCCGAAGCATTCCAACAACACAGAACGAAACGAATGCGAATAAAAAATCAAGCTACAATCGCATTTGGGATATTGAACATATTCTACGCAACATTAACAAACAGGCTCCACTAAACCTGAACTGATAGACATTACATTGTATGGAAGATGAGAACAATATGTAACACACTTGGACGACAAGCGCCAACGCGACTACACTCACTTCAAAAAAATACATGTTTTTTGAGAGTATATTACTTCATCAAAACTTTCAGGGAGATGAACGGAGATCGACAGATAACAGTAATCATTTAAAGAAAAGCGTGAATACAACATTTCTCAATCTTTGTTCATGTACCGGCAGACATTTATTAGGCAATATCCACTTGCCAAACATGTATTCTCTTGAAGAGGAAATCACTCCGTTAGCACTTTCGAACTCTTCTTGAAGCCAACTGAGGACTTTCTACCATGTCTAGCAATTAGGAGACATTGGTTATTGTGGACAGTCACAAGAAAAACTCAATTTCGATGATGACCAAAGCATTCCTTATTAGTACTTCCAAAGAGTATTGTATCGTTTAGGTAAAGATGTTCACCTTTAGGGCGATGCAAGTCCGCAGGAAGCGAACGGCAGCAACAACCAAGTACTTCTCCTTCCTACGAGTAAGCCGCAATATTTTCTCCACAACATTGTTCCGCATTACATAGTATCTGACACTCCACACACCAACCATAACTAACTCATAAGAGAGCATCATACCTGTCCAACTTTATAATGATTCCGACCGTCCCTGGCCTCGAATTCAATAATCAAACTTCTACTCATCAATAACTGAAAGGCTTGGTCAAGTTTTCCGATGTGCAACATACTTTATCCGGAATCTATGGTGTTGCACGCAGAAGCACATGAGGTCACAGATGCTCATCAAAATTTCAGGCGTGATTGAACTCTTTGGTATGAATGGAACAAGAGGAGCAGGAACACGAGATGGTGATGGGGAAGGAGACGGTGAAGGAGACGGTTGTTTGCTCGGCTCGCCGCCAACTCCCTTTAAAGGGCATCCGGCTGTTAAAACTTCAATCAGTTGATCCATATATTTGTCATAAAATACATCGAGGAACTTATCCGTCTGGGCCTGTTGTCAAAACGATTTATTCACCGAGAAATCAGCAAGCTAAGGTCAATTAACTAAGTACCAACCACTGTGATTCTAGGACTCACACATATCAACTTGGATAATACACCTGAAAGGATAATCCCTCTCGTAATCTAAAGCTTTGAACCCATTGAGATTCAAAAGGACGTATGTATATAACAAAAAGAGTATCAATTTGCAGAAACTAGATCGAGAGCGAGATGGCATTGAGGCCCCCATGCCCCACAGAATTATTAATAATGCTCGTCGATCGCATAATAACTAACTTACCTCGAGACCCAAGTTTAGACACAACAGAAGGTACGAATATCTTGGAACCTCTCCCCGTTCCTCAGCTCAGTAACACACATGACCGGCGCTTTCTCAAACAAGTTGATGGCCCCAAACTAAAACTATTACCTTTCTAGAAATCTTACAGACCGAAAATCACGCGGTGACTATTCTTACCGGATCCATTGTGTCCGAGTCCAGAAGGGTGCGCATAATCTCCAGAAGTTGTGACTGAAACCCTCCTTCTCCAGGTGTCAACATCCCTTTGACCTGAAAAATGAAATGATAATGTCAAAGACATCCATATATTCTTTACTCGCAACACAGTCGGCTCCAAGTCCTCAAGATCTACCTTACACTGGGAAATTGGATTATATCAACAGTGTATCATTATGGAGGAAGATTAAGGCGGTCAGTGCATAAGCTGTAGAGACATAAAAAAGTCGAAATAGCACCAGCAAACAAGACATCAATCCTGACTAAAAAGACCAACATACCAATACGCTGAACAGGACTTGGCCCTGCTGTTGCACGAGAAAAGCACGCAGCAAAGGAGGCCGGTGGTTTGAAACCACAATCAATATGTCGCTTCTGCGCGGTATCAGGTGATAACGAGTTTTAGAAACTGAATGTACAGACATCCTGGCAGTAATCGGAGAGTTTCTTACAAATCAATACCAAAGTCTCTTCAAAATAATGGAAGGTGGCCAAAGAGTGAAGCCACGAGAACGGTTCTTTTCTTCATACAAAAGTCCAGCGAAAATACCCGCTCAATCTAACACTCTCATCTGCGCTTTGAAGGGTGTTGGTAACAATGTCAAAAAGACCCTCCGCAACCAATGCTCTGCAGTACATTTGAGATGAGTCAGATCTTCAGCCCAAAGTCATGAAGCATAAAAGACCAGTACAATTTGACAGATGAGGAAGTCGAGACTGATCAAAGAGAGTTACTGACACCATTTTTGTAAAGGTATCACAACGTTCGTAGCGTTACAACGAGTTGGAAACAAAGTATGAAGTTCAAATTATATTCCAAGAATCTGAGTAGGAAGATTAATAAGCTTGAATATAGGAGAAAACTATAACTGACTGCGATCACATGCTATCCTTTCAGAAACGTCAAAAACGTCAGCTCCAAATCTAGAGCGGACTTTTGCACCGTAAAACACATACTTCGCGAATGTACTTCAGTGAGGTTTCAGAATACGTCATTAACATGAAAATTTTGAGATATCTATACAAAGAGCTTGGTCAGGGAGAAGGTTTCATCTATAGCGATTGTAACGCACCCCAATAGCTGATTTCGCAGAGCAGGCTGCAGATGCTTGCTGAGATTGCAGAATTCTTGCACAAAGAGAATCTGCAAGACGGTAAGTGAAGTTTAAAAGTTGAGATGTAGGTGAAGTAAAAGGATGAGATTAAACAGCTCCCAGACCGCAAAATATCTTAAAGAATACAAAAGAAGTTATTTTCAACTCTCTTACCAGGTCTCTTCTGCCTCTTTCGGATGTATTCGGTGACCACAGCTTGGTGAACAGCTCGCTGAGAAAGCCGCTATCGTTCTGTAAAGCCGAGACGACCTGCAACATCATATCATAGATTTCATAAACAAAATCTTAAGTGAACACTGATGTGGACAAGGCGAGCAACAAGTTCATGATGATCTTGCACATGGTCAGAGGTATATCAAGATCACTCAAACACATCACTACTAGCAGCCGATTCGACTGCAAGGGCCGTAAGTACCAAAGGTGAGACTAATGAAGTTGCTATGATCAATTCGGCCTAGGATCGCTGTAACAATTATGAAGAAAAAAAATACTCGTACCGCCACATTATTGAAAAGCATGATTGAGTTGAAAGTTGCGAATGTCTGATCATCGAGCACCCGTGGTAGTATCACATCCTGCACAAAAGTACCTTTCCACAAATTAGATGCCTGAAACGATGTTCAAAGACTTCATTACTATGACAAGAAAACTAGACCACTACCGTGGTTACGCCACGGATTTTTGCAAAAATATGTGGCGTAACCACGGTAGTGGTCTAGTTTTCTGCTGCACAAAAAGATGCACACTGATGGGAGCCCAGTCCAGTTTATTTTCTATCACCTTGATGTATCCGATTCGATAAGTTTGGTGTATTTTAAGGAGGATATTGGGGTCTCGAATTGGTACAACCTGCATATCATACAGCATCCAAATTGCCTTCAGTATTGAATTCAGAGGAGAAAATCCTTCAAACCAAGCGATTCTAGTTGACGTCTCATAACGAACATCTAAAACAAACTTTGTTCTTAACACGTTCTATACAAAAGAAAGGCTTGAACCGCATATGACCTCTTTGTAAATCACTTGCTCCTTCAAGAAAGCACGATAGTTCTGTTTCACGGGAAGCTCTGGATCGTCTGAAAAAGTGAACAGGTAATGGATGTGACGGAGCCGGCGATTAGAAAAAGCACTTTCACTGATAAATCTTTGAAAGACCTGTTGTCCATAGACAGTCTGCAAATGCAGGCATTACTGTACACGGGACCACATTCAACAGCTTCACGACTTTCTTCACATTAACAAACACCTTTTACTCCACAATTCCCATCTACGTAAGTTGCTATCAGTTTATAGTCTTTGATTAAATTGATACATTTCGAATATAAACGAGCTCCGAAGCCAAACTAGACATGCGGAACGAAGCAAGCATCGCAGCCTGTCCTCTGACCCACTTCTCGCGATCTATGCATGATCACTTGCATTACTTCTAAATGACTTTAGCTCGTTCAACTTCCCAAACTGCTTTCAATTCAACTTACGTGACAACACAAAAAATTTATGAAGATATACTGCAGATACCCAGAGATGCAGAAGAAGTGTTCTAGTATTCTTAAAAAGAAAAGGGGACAGAATACTCACACTCCAAAGCACCAACAATGTCCATTATATACTCCTCGCTGAAGATATCATCAAATATGTGTACATCATTTAGTGAAACTGCACGGACAGTCCAAGTTCGGCACGATGACCATGAAGTCGCGGCAATAGCTGAAAGATCAGCTATGTCTATATTACAAATGAGAAAGACGCAAACTGGCTACTTTCCTTACAAAAAGACGGTAGGTACGACTGCACACAAAAAATGAGTGTGTATACACGGATAGTGTTTTATGAATATATATATGAAAGATTCGATCTAATAAACTCAAAATGTTATGAACTAAATGGTGAGTATAGATATCAAGCATAAATAATACTGAAAAGGAACATTGCATCCACGATAAGCAGCTAAAGCAAATGAATAAATGGCGTGTGCTCTTTACTGGTGAACAAAACCGAATGCAGTCAAGTTCCTGGGATCGTAACACAAGTGATATACTTACTTATTCCTTTCACTGTTTTGAACAACATGTGAAGCGCTTCTAAATTCTCCAAATCTTCAGAAGTTCTGAAAAGTTCGATGATTTTCCGGATGTAGTTTTGCTGCAAAAGGAGGTGTCAACGAGACGATCAGAATAGAAGAGCAAAGAAAGAAGCTCCAAACAGAGAACCAACCTTCACCTTCATCGCTCCTTCAAAGTCTACGATAACTTTAAAGCAACAAATTGCTCTTGGGTTACATGCCACAATGCTATACAAAACAGGGATTTGCCTTCCTAGGCAACCTAGCGGACTCTGGCCATGGATTCCAAGCAAGCTTTTCAGGACAATCCTACAAATGATGATTCTGTGATAAAGTACATGATAGCATGCCAATTGTGGGGGAGCTACATAAATAACTCGTTTAATTGCAGTGAGTGCTAGCAATGTCCAGAAAACCCTTCCAAACTTTGATAATACTTTCCTGACATTGTCTCAGCTGAAAGCTAGTTTTATCTAGAACGAGACCACACGACATGGAACATCAGAAAAAAATTAAGCGAAGGTACAAGGAAGGGAACGGTGGTTGATTCGGCAAAAACAACCACCTCGTCCCCTTTGTTGAGGAAGAGGTGGTTGTTTTTCCTACCTCCTCCTCCTCAACGAAGGGGCACGGGGCACGACTGCTTCGTGCCCCCTCGTTGAGGAAGGAAGGTAGGTGAAATAACATCTGTTGCAAATCCCTTACATACACCAAAGATGCATTGACCGCTGGGCTTATGGGTTTTCCCTCCACTTGAAGGAGCAGCAACGGAATAGTCACTTTGCTGAACCAACAATATAGCAGTTGCATGACAATTGATGGACGAAAACGACCAATCACAAGTCTCGGCGCTAACAATGGCAACCAGTTCGATACGAGACTGCCGTCGAGGCGTCGGCAAATGAGATTGGCATGGCTTATCAAGAATCGCAAGGTGATGGCTTTGAATCAGTCAGGTCACATGAGACGTCAGATAAGTCATTGCGGCCCAAGGGAGATAATACTCATCCTGGTAGACCACGGATCAGATCCGGGGCTGTTAACACAGCAGACATGCAATACCATCACTACTCCAATGACATGATCGGCGCCATTGGCCAATGTTAAGTCGATGTTTCAACAGTACCCCTTAGTTTATGCCAATTTTGTCCAACCTAAGAATGCGACGGGGAGAGCCAGGTTTGCTGTTGGCTAGAAAAGGCAAATAAAAAAGTATTATGCTAATTCTTTTATTCGATACTTTAATATTTGGTACAAGGACGGGTACAGTGGTTGATTCGGCAAAAACAACCACCTCTTCCTCAACGAAGGGGCACGGGGCACGACTGCTTCGTGCCCCCTCGACATGATAGCATGCCAATTGTGGGGGAGCTACGTCAAAAATCGTTCAATTGCAGTGAGTGCTGGCAATGTCCAGAAACCCCTTCCAAACTTTTAAAAAGTACTTTCCTGACATTGTCTCAGCTGAAAGCTAGTTTTATCTAGAACGAGAGCACACGACATGAAACATCAGAAAAAAATTACAAGGACAAGGATGGGAATCTCCAGTGACACTCTCCAGACTCTCAAGTGACCTGACCACCTACAAAGAGGTTAATAAAAGAACTTTCTGCCAACAGAATGTGCCATCCTTTAAAACAGAACAGCATTGATTTAGTTTAAGTCCAGGTGAGCATAGTGAAGCAAAGGGCCAAATGTGGAAGTATCGAGTCCTACAAGTACTAAATAAACTCAGTACATTAACTCAGTGAACTTAACACCCTCCTCAAACACTTTCAATACATGTGATCAACCCCAAGGAAACGAAGATCACAGAACTGAATGATGATGAACAAATTATGATGTATCTAAGGCGTAACCTCATGTATTGGAACTGTCAAGAATTAAGAAATATGACCGAAACATAGCAAGAATCGTGATGAAGAAAATCGACGGATTCAACGGAAGAGCCTTTAAGTTGCGGGAAAGGAGAGGAGGAAGACACAATCCATGGGACGAATTGACAATATTAAGACACAAAATTTCTAACATTAATTTAAAATGAGTGCACTCGCACGTTAAGAAAAAAGTGCGGTATGGTTCCTCGTATCCAATGAGAGAAACCGCGGACCATCAACAACATCTACCCGACGGGCATCACTCCAACGGCACATAATCCAGGCTGTTTCATAAGTGCGTCCCAGGGAGCGTAAGGATATGCACTGGACCACGGGAGGCTGATGATAACTCAAAACCTAAAACATCCTGAAGAGTTTCCGTATCTGCTGCGCAGCCCTTTTGTTACTTTTATGTACCACAGGGTAAGCTTTAAAATGGTCCGAAAACATCGAAAGTCCTGAATCCAGTGATGAAGGATAAGAGCAAGGAGTACATAATGAAGAAATTCTTAAACAGAACCCAGAAAGAGATTGATACCTAGACAACAAGTGCAAGATACACAGAGAATCAGTGCATCTCTTTTATGATGCATAACCATAAATAAGGATGGACTTCCCAGTTCTTGAAGGTTTGAAATGGGTCTTGGAACGAAAGTAAGTTGAACGTATCACTGTATCACAGCAAACATAGCATAGTGACAGAAATATGCATCCTCTCTTCGTCATCGCCAATCGCGTATACTGAGTGTGAATATATATCCATGGACGACTTCCAAGGTTTTAAGCATAGCTCCAAAATTTACAGGCCGTACGGTGCGAATATGGTTGCTAAAATTCTGAGTAAGAACAAAATTACATCAATCCAGGATATTTCAAAGCCACTCTTCTGCCACGGCAGGCACAGACTTGCGACTTGCTCTTACGACTGACTACATTTTGACCGGTATCCTGGAAAAAGCATGGCAGTTTTCGCAAGAATCTGTAGGCCAGTAAACAGATCATTCACAAGTGCATTTAGTTCCCACACCTTCCAGATGCTGGAACCTAAACAAAAAGCAGAGCTTCAGTCCTTTCTTTGGATGATAATGTTTCAAACGACAGTCAGTAGGAAAATGAATTAACAGGACTCTAAGAGAGAGAGTATACCTCCCGAAGAATCAAAGCCGCAATTCGATCACGATCAAAATGCGCCACCTCGGCTACGGCCTGCACTTGGAAAAACTGAATCAACAAAAGTTCCTCTTGCCGATGGAATGTGTCACTAGAGATAATTGTCAAAAGATGCTCAACCTGTAGCTGCATTGCGTTAAGTATTGGGAGAAAGAATAATGGTCACCATGGTGCCAAAGAAACAATCCACTCAACTACGACAAAAATATTCAGTTTTGAGGTGCTCTACATAAAGGTTTGTTTGAGGAAGACATCACGGTTCTGGCAAGAGAACCTAAGTTCAGCTGCGAATTTAATCTCGGAAACAGAAACTTCGACGTGGTAGTTTGAAGTGTTAGCATACACACAAACAGACTTGCAAGGGCGGAAGGTCATAGAATAACTCGCACCTTCACGAGCTGAGGAAGGGTGCCCAGCTCCACTGGTGGCAGGCCTGAAGAATAGTCAACATTTAAAAAAAGATTATTATGAACCTCAGGAAGCCAAGAGAGATGTGTCTCAAACAAATATAGATGAGGCCAAGAATGACAGCTCGCATTCTCAACTGCATCACCACAAATGAGTCTATGCCCATACATTTGGGTGGTGCAACAATTAATAGGTGATCGCCGAATCTAATGGTGATGAGTATTTTTTTCTCCGATAAGACTTAGATAAACACTCGGCTAGAAGATAACCTACCAATGATTGCGTTTAGTCAGCATAAGAGAAAGTAGATTCAGGCAGCTACATGATGCTCGTGGGAAACGACGACACGCGGTGCTTACATTCAAAAGCAAGACCACGACCATCGCAAAGGCATTCTGTGACTTCTACAGAAAGGGCAAAATATATATAAAAACTTTACTAACACGACCTGATGCCTGCAGTCAGTTCAGCTCTCTCAGTAACAACACTAAGAAAGCTCTCTTCAATACTGGCAGCACTTTATTTACAGAACTATCAATTCCTTACTGGGTGATCAGAACCAGTTTTTTCACTTATCTTCACTTTAGAGAAATGTGAAGAAGACAGAGCGGCATGAAAAATGGAAAACCCCAAGTGTTCTTTATTCTACGTGAATTCGGTACATTTAACGAATTCAATGGAATCTAGACAACACTGATATATTTTTCCCAATACACCTCCACTAGGACCTCTCACTAGTTCGCTTTTGTATTGAAGGTAAGAGACATTACCGTCGTCTTGAGACATGCCTGAATGTTCCATATCATCATTGATTGGCCGTGCCACACTGTCCAAAGCTGCGGAAAACATACAACCAAATTTGGCTTAGAAAATAGACATTACAAATGCCTCCGAAATTCAAAAAATTGTCATGAATCTTGAAAACAATCAAAAAAATAAAGCAAAATTCCCTTCCAGTTTACCTCCGACAGCAGAAAATAGACATTACAAATGCCTCCGAAATTCAAAAAATTGTCATGAATCTTGAAAACAATCAAAAAAATAAAGCAAAATTCCCTTCCAGTTTACCTCCGACAGCAGAAAATAGACATTACAAATGCCTCCGAAATTCAAAAAATTGTCATGAATCTTGAAAACAATAAAAAAAAATAAAGCAAAATTCCCTTCCAGTTTACCTCCGACAGCAGGAAATTGGATGGATCTTTGAACGCTGCAAATCTGATCCCTGCGAAACCTCAGGGCACTTAGAAGTCTTGACTCGTCGCTTTAAAACAACGGTCGAGAGCATTTACAAATTTGCTGTGGCTTGACATAGTACCTTCAAAGCTGAGTCTAGGCTGCTCGGAGAGAGTTCAGCAGAACATCAAAATCAAGATATACATGCCTGTCTCATGCAGGCTTACAAGATCTGCATAGGAGGCCAAAACATCTGGCATGGAGGCAGTTGGTAGCAGGTGGAGCATATGTATCAAAGTTCGGAACCCCACTGTAATACTTACCAGATGTATGAACAGCTCATGGTCTCCTGAAAACTTAGGGCCAGATCCGTTGCAACTTCTGGGTCCGTCCATGAGATAATTGTATCTGAAATGAACAGTTAAAATACAACGTGATCTACAACAAGGGCTTAACACCAAAGGGGACCGAAGAGCACAGACCCGGCAGTACACTACCATTTTTTTTATTTCATAAAATAACGTGGAAAAAATCCGCTGATATGTTAATGGAGGGCATTGGTTAGTGCGTGATTTTCACAAATCAGATTTCACTACGCTGATAGCTCCCATGCTATGTCCAAAATCTTCCACAAACCTTCTTGACGTCGGTATATGTCATCAGCAGATATACGGTGGATCAGCAAAGTTTGATTATTCTCTTCATCGATCACAACTAATCCGACTGCTTCAGACCTCTGCACACAACGATGAGGCCGTTGATTAGTATCAGATTTGCTCAACGATACTGTAGAAGCTTCTTCTCCGAAACTGTAAGCATCCTATAATCTGCCTAATCAAATTTGCCACCAATTTTTTTTTAGCTTGTAAAGGTCCACAATTTACTCCCCTGACATTAGTTCTCACTCGAAAATCTTCGCCCCTGGGATGGCACATAAACTTTCACGACGAAAGATTACCTCCAAATATTCGAGGGATACGTGGCCGGTACCCTTATCATCCCATTTTCCTCCATCATTCAACCGATACACCTTCACACGCTGCAAGCCCCAAACAAGTGAATTAATAACAGACACTAGTATGATAGGCAAGAACAAACTTCGCAAGAAAATCGTCACCACGTTTGTTATCACGAGGTGCTATAACTGTCCAAGTCCAGACCGCTCCTGATTGCTAAAACTCAACGTCCACAAGTAGGAATCGGGAAAGAAGAAAAAATACACCTTACCACATCACAACTCAACAAAAGCCAATGCAGCCGACAACTACACTGGCCATGGACAGTAGTGGGGCGAGAAACTCAGGGAGAAGAAAAGTGAAAATAAAAATTGTGAATTAAAGTTGACTCCAACAAGACATCACCTAATAAACTAGAGATGTACATGAAAGTTAAGCACATGATATTAAATTAACATAGATCAGAACCTAAAAGAACAGAGCTTAAATGTCTGAACAGCAAGAACACTTAACGAGCTACGAGCGTGCCCCGAACACAATGTGCAAAGTTGTGGAGGAACACAGCTAACCTCAAAGAGTTGTGCGAACATGCTTGTTAAGCCAAGCAATCCACTACAGAGATTGTAACATAGGGTTCAACCGCACTTGCAGTCACACTCCTGCCTGACTGGGAGTCTGCTTACAACAAGGTTCTGGTTCACAGACCAGGGTTGCCCTTTCAAGTGAGGACGCTGCCCAAACACTTCTGGTGGCACTCACAATCGAGACAAGCTGACAATCGCCCACCCACTCGATAAATACAGCATTTCTCCTATCCCTATCTCCTCCTTGCCTGTAGTAATTACCCTGTACTGGAAACAAAGGAGCTGGGTCTGCTTCAGAGCTGGAAATTGCAGCCTAGCCAATAGGAAGCAATTTCCTTCTTGACCCACCCGTCACCATGGCTATGATACAAGAATGAGTCTTCACGGAATTTAACATCAGGATAATGATTTTGTGTGTGTATGGACCCCATGTGTGCCTACTATGGCAATCGGGGCCCCATTGTCAGATCAAGCTGCAATCGAAACGTTGAAGAAACACGTGCAAAACCACCCCACCCATCGTAGAGTAAACTCTATTCATCGGGTCCTCAAGGGTGTACTGACCGCAGGCATTTTGCCCACTCCAAGTAAATGATCAGGAGAAGATGAAAAATGTGGATAGTTGAGGAAGGAGATGAGATTAGAAGAAAATAGAAATACTTTCTGGATCTCTACATAGATTGCAGCTCAGCAGGAAATAAATTCCACCAGTCAATTTCAGTATAACAGCGTCCGCGCAATAAACAAAGACGAAAACAAGGAAAAACCGCTAAACATGCACGAGAGTTACCGACGTCAAGAATCAAGAATGTAGGAAGAACTACCTGAAGATAGTTGAAATCCATGGGGTTTGTGCGGCTTGCTGAGACGGTCATGTATACGGCCCCTTTACCAGTTTTGGATGTAGAAGCAACCGAGATGGACTGCAAGTAGGAAGAAAAAATACTGGAGAAAATCCGTGCTCCGAGAGTTGAAGCGACCAACACATACCCAATATTATTTGACTGTGGATGTGAAGCGTAATTCGGTTACTTGGTAACAGTGGAATGGGAAACGACGGTGCGACACACTCACCGCGACAATAGTGAGATAGTGGAGCTAGCTTGAAGCTCACAACCAAAACACAACTTCGCAACTATTCGAGACTCTCCAACCCAAACTCTTCTCTTCAAGCCAGCTAATAACCCTATCCTTTCTAAACAGCGCTCTAGAAGTGACCGCCCTGTACTCCGCGCCTATTTCCATAAAACAATCCCTTCCAATCACCTCTCCCTCCATCCTCCCCACTTCGTCCAATTCTCCGACTTTCTCCCACACCCTAACATCAGGTTCACCAGAAAACTACAACTACCAACGCGCGATCCTGAACTGCAACCTTTCCTTTCCTGTCCTACACTAGCACAATATTCCACCGACTATACCCTACTGTTAAACCACAGCTCCACAAAGACACTGCTCCGTCTTCGCCCGCACTGTTCCCCGTAGCCTTCAAATATTCACTGCTCCAATGATAGTTCAACAACCTCCATCCCTGCGCCTTTGCACCTATCGCAATCCCTGAAGCTTGTCCTGTCCTCCAACCTGTCAAAAACCTAAACACCCGACTATTCCACACACACAAGCTCCCTTCCCTCGCGACTTTTATCGCGCGTGTGGCAAGACCACACAGCGTGCATGCCTGTTATGCCTCTCTAACCTGCTGTCCTGAGCATGCCCTACGTTGTGTACCACCACCTCCTCCTCCTCCTCGGTCAGAAGCTTAGCAACGAGGAGAGCCCAGACCCCGAGCACAGCACAAGCGCAGCAGCAGACAGGCAAGGGGAGCACAAGGAAAGGGAAAGGTGCAGACTTCTCTCTAAGGAACAGCGGCACTCGGAGGGAAGAGAGAGACGAAGAGGAAAGGAAATGAAAGGGAAGGCAAGGTCCGTCGGAAAGGGGAGTGCCACAGATAGGAAAGAGAGAAGAGGGAAACAGAGTGAACGGACTGGGAAGCAGGGAGGAAGAAAATGGAGTCGAACTGAAGAGCACCAGCAATCGAACCAGGAGGAAGAGGGAGGAGAACGAACGAGGGACGTGCGGGCAGCGGGGGCAGGCAGAGAGAAAATTAAAAGGTTGTGGACCGCGCGAAATGCGAGAGTGGAGCGGGAGGCCGTCATCGGGAGAGTGTCAAGTTGACGCTCAGAGGGGAAAATTTACAACAGGAAAAGATAAGCCGGTGAACGCGGAGCGTGTTTGTAGTGTAGGGTGGTAGGACAGTCCGCGCCGGCGGGAGGCCTACCGGCAATTTGCCGGCCGGCAACGGCGTTAGCTCGCAGGTTAAAGTACGCTAGCATGAGGAAAAACGACCGGCGACCGGACAGTAGTGACGTGAGCCCACCGGTAATAACCCGCATTAGATGCGCGACGCGTGCCATGGCATACACATTCATGTCTCTCGTTTTGACACGTATGCGTGAGACCCAAATCCAGCATAAAAAATGGCATCTTCGGCATAATCATGGGCAGCACCATTTATCTCCATCGTATCCACTGTACCCTATTCTAGCTTTTCTCCATGCTCCCGCCATTGCGGATGGTTCCTTAAACTAACTTCCATATTGTTTCCCTTTTAAAACTGGCCTCAACTGCATTTCCATGCCTTCGATTGCAGCTCTCCGCTTTGTTTCCTATTCTAACCTATACTTCAATACCAATTGTATTAAATTTGCAGTGTACCATCTCTATATTATAACTCCCAAACTTTAAAGTGCATAGGAAAACTTGCATCAACCCTTCTCTCGAGGAATGACTCAATCCCTCAGTACGAGTCTGTGATATAGACGTGTATTCAACTGAATGCTACTGTTTTCAATCTGTACTGTATTGAAAGACATGTTCATTGTAGAAACTTATACTGTAGTAGGTTAATCACAATTTAGCGGCTTCATGCGGTTGTACTAACTACTTGAACCCTCTACCTCCAAGGTCAAGTCTCGACTAAATAGGAACGAGAATGTTTCTCCGTGGCTGGAATGCGTGACTTTATGTATAGATAGGAACTCATCTTTTCAACGACAATAACAGGGAAGCTGTCAGGAGACAAATATAGTACTGAATTTCCAATCACTTCGTTTTCCTTTACCAGTTATAAGCGGGATAACGATTCTAGTGTTACGAGTTAGCGATTAAACGTTTGTTATTTAAACGGTAACAGCACAAGATACTCTTACAACTTTTACAACATATCCGCCCCCATTACAATAACACAGGCGAGTTACTACTCGCCTGTCACAAAGATGGAAATCCAACGTAAATACATTCGGGATGACACCAACTTGGTACGATAGGTCTAGTGTAAATGTATTGAGTCGAATTGCTATCATATCGAGTTTTAGTTTTGTTGAATCGAACATCATACCAACAGTAATTGTACAGCATAAGCACTACCATAATCTGCTGTGCAATAGCACAACATAAACCTCATATATTTTTTCATTCTAATTAGTAAATATTCATTAAATATAATAAATAATGTAATTACGTATTCCTTTTATTTTAAACTTAAAATTTGGATTTATAAATTTTATTTAAATGTTTCAGCTCAACATGAGCTTCTAATTTGACTATCTAAAAACTTAAACAATATCAAAATTTATTAATCAAAATTAAAATGATATGTTTTTCTTCTACAATGATGAAATTAATATGCCAAAAAATTTTACATTTAGACAACATATATTTGGTAAGTAATGTACATATTGATAATAGGTAAATTATAATTTCACACGAAGAATTAACCCACTTTTTTGGCTGCCAAAAAAGTGTGAAAAAATCCAACATATGTTCAAAAAATATACATTATTGGTTCTTACTAATAATGAAAGGTTATTTTGTCTTTGTGTGTGTGTATATATATATATATAGGAAATTTTTAAGCTACCACAACCAATGTTAAAACCACCACATAAGCATCTCTTTTCGACAATTGATTTTTTGCATACAAGCCCAAGAATCATCTTCAAGTGTATTTTTGTTACATTTTGCAACATATGTGCACAAAACACAATCAAACATGATAATAATGAATACACACTTTAAGATCGATGATTATTGACTATTGACTAAAACTAGTGCAAAGATCTTGCGTAATAACAACATGAGTGACAGTGTTTTTTGCATAAGATAGTGGAACTGGAAAAACATGCTCGAAGCTAATACTTGGAATTTTATGCAAAAAAAAATAAATTTGATAGATCATGTGAACAACTATTTTGTTAACGCAAAACATGATAATCATTAATGACACACTCAATCAAGTCAAGTTTTAAACACAAGAAACACCAACGTATAATATGATTCACCCTCAAGGGCTGCATCCACAAGAGAAATAGCATCTTGAAATTGTATTGAACATTCTGGTTAATAATACACAAACCCTAGGTATATATATCCAACGGCGGAGATCAATCTAGCTATAAATGGTTAGAATCTAAGGTTACTCCTTAACTAGAGTTAACATCAACAATCTTACCCTTAACTTGTGTTAAGGCAACAGTATCCTTTATACTTATATTACTACTCCGCGGGAAGTTCTAGACGGAAACCTCACACAAGGTCCATGTTTCAACAAAAGATAACTAGAATTAAGCCGTAATCATCATATGATAGAATAATTAAATAAGGAGATAATTGAAAATACTATGCTAGCAAACTTTACCTATGTTTCCAATGCAAAACTTGCATACTAGCACAATGTTGTATGAATCTGTAACACTAGGGTTTAGAGAGAAGTTCACTCAAAGATTGAAACATAAACTCTGAAGATGAGAGATACCAACAAGTAGAATGAGATAAGATCATATCCCCAACATCCATCTCAATCCTAGTGGATGAATGACGTGACGTGGCGTTCTCCACCCACTTTGTGAGCCTTTCGGCCCCAAACAGGCTTTTAAACCACTCGTAGAAGGGAGTGTTAATGCGACATAACAGGAAAAAGGTGACTCTGTTCATAAAAATGTATCAACATATGAGGTACACGAATTGGTGATGTGGCACTACCAACTAACACTCAATCTTTACCTAACAAACACACAGATCACTGACGTGGCGTTGTCAACTAACACACATACCTCTTACTACCAAGCGCGCAGATCGCTGACGTGGCAGCTATGACTAGTGTATCCATATCGGCTAAAATATCTATATCAACATTTAAAGTAACATTTTCTTTAGTTCTTACTAACAAAAGATGTTTAAAAGATCTCTCCAAAGTATTAATTTTTGTCAATTTATCAACTAGATAAAGTTCACTGTCAATATTGACTGGCTCAATCAACAGAGTTTAATGTCAAGATTGACTAGCTGAATCAATAGAAATTTACCGTTAATCTTGACTGGCTGAATCAATAGAATTTACCGTCAATCTTGACTAGCTCAATCATCAAAGTTTACCGTCAAGATGTACTAGCTTAATAATCACAATTTATCATCAATCTTAAGTAGATCAATTATCAAAATTTATCGTCAAGATTGACTAGCTCAATTATCAGAATCTAACATCCATCTTGACAAGCTCAATCACGTGCTCAAGTATCCACTAGTATTGGTGTTTCATTTTTATCATAAATCACATATTGATCAAAAATCCTCAAGATCATATCCATGATTGGATATTTTTAACTCATAAGTATAGAATGTCCAGGAACTCAACACCTCTTTCAATCATTTAGGTCTCATTGAAAGAAACGTTTTACTCACAAGAATCTACACGGTACTAAATCCCAGAGCATGTAACCCTACATTGGTCGAAGCAGGTAATTTTGTACTTCTTAATTTAGATTATATAATTTGTATCGTGGTCATCTCTATTCTATAAAAAATTAGAACTAGTAGTACTTTCGTGTCAATTTCTTCCTTTTGAGTCATCTGTCAGATCCTGAAAATGGTCTAGATGCTTTAGTTGCGTTGAGAGCTTTTCAACGATTTCCAATTTGACTACATTCTGACAAAGATTGTTGCGAAAAAAATATGTACAAACGGAACATGCCATTAGACGGACAAAATCTTCTCAACAAAATCTTTGTCCAAGATTGACAGCCCAATGGGCCTATCTAATATGCCAGCCACATGTCATCCACACTTGTGATTGTGACTGTCCGTGAGCCTTACCTACGACTAACCGTTGTCCACAACTTTTTGTCACAATCATCCGTGAACTACTATGCTCGTGATCATCACCGTCATCCGCTACTAACTACGCCCACAATCATCATCGTCATCTCCGATTGACTGTTATTGTCGCTCATGACACACCATCTGTAATCCACGACTACAATCGCCCTTGATTGCTTTTGGCTACGACTCACCGTCTGTCATCTATGACTACAGTCGTCCGTGATCATCATCGTCTGCGACTCACTGTCTGTCGTCGTCACCCACATGTACATCGCCCTCGTCTTATCTACCGTGGTTGCCTCACATATTCCTCTTGCCCACCAACCACAGTCGATCCGTCCAGATTGGTTGCCATCTAGACCGCAGTTGGCTCGGACGACTACGTTTGTCTAGCAGATTTCATGATGGAGGGTTGGGAATCCGCCACGTGGCATCTGTCTATCGCATGTCATTCTAGGAGGCGAGAAGTAAGCCCTGCCGCACGACTAAGGTCCTGCCATTTGGCCGCTCTGGCCATCATCCCAGTCGCCGCTCCTACTTCGGGTTTCTCACACCTCGTGATCCCTACCGCTCAACCTCACACGCTTGTCAATCGCACGAGCACAGGACGCGCTAATGGGATCACCATGCCGCTCGCGCGGCGTGCAAAGGGAAATGTAACGTAGGGCTGCCTGCGACGTAATCTTGTTGTTTGAAGGGGCGGAGCCGCTTTTCCTCTGTTGTGTTATCGAAATTCCCTGCTAGAACGAGCGAAGAACTTCAAGAAGCAGCACAACACGTCCACAAGTAGGCCTCAACAAGGTGATGTAACCTTTTGAAGTTACTCTGTAAAAGGGTAAAAGATAAGGGTAAAATTTAGAAGTTTGGCTATAGAGTAAGGTAAACGTAAGGTAAAGGTAGAGCCAAATGGGTTGCCCGATAATTACAAGATAATCCTCGTACCCGCGAAAAACAAAAACGTGTACACTCTCAGAA